TAGTTTCTTTCCCTTCATGTGGGATTTACTGAGTTGTTGTTATTGAAAAATTAAGAGAAAAGAAATTTCTTAAAAGTGAACACTTATTTAGCTGCACGTGTTGCCTTTTTATGCATGTGATAATGAGTTATTCCATCCGTTCATTTTTACTTGATATGTATACTAAAATAGATTTTTATTTTTACTTGTCACTTTATGCATATCAAGAGAAGACAAAAAAAAAAATTCCGGTTATACCCAAAGTATTTATTACTCATTTCAAATTATTTTCTCAAATCCAATAAAATAGACATCAATTAATATGAGTATCATGGTCAAAACATGCCAAGTAAAAGTGAATGAAAGGAGTATTTCTAAGTTCTTGCTACCAAACAAATCAAAGTGGAATAGACAACTTGACATTACTATCCACAAATTCAGTCTTAGTCTTATTCCATGGTGGAGAAGTGATAAGGCTCCACTATAAGCATAATTAATTATCCACCTTTAATTCAAAAAAAGTTGTCCCCCTATATTATAACACCAATTCTTGCTTTTTCTTCATTTTATTTTAAGGTCGACATAAATTATGTAGTACTATTAGTTAGTCTATAAACCATGGAAAAAATCGTCTATAATTAGTTCAAGCTGTTATCCCTGCTTACTATTAATAACTAGACTGCACTGGGTTAATTTTATACATTTTCAAGCAAATAAAACTAATTTTGGTAAATTTGCTTATTGATATAGAGTTCAAGATTAGGGTTTAGGGTTCAAGAGAAGAGGACCAATGCATTCCTTCGTCTTCTTATTATGATGTTGACATAGAAGGGGTTCGATTATCATCAGTTCATGTCAGTGAAAATAATTCGGAAAAGGCCTAAAAATGCCACTCAACTTCCAGAAATGGTTTATTCATGTCATCCGTTAAAAAATTGCTATTTCCATGCCACTGCCGTCAAAGAAATGACCCATCCATGCCATTATTGACTAACGGCTCAATTTTTATATGGCCCATCCATGCCGCTGTCGTTAGTCAATAATGGCATGGATGTGCCATTTCGTTAACGGCAGTGGCATGAAATGAGCATTTTTTTAACGTGATGGCATGGATAGACCATTTCTGAAAGTTGAGTGGCATTTTTAGGCCTTTTCAAAAATAATTTTACATTAGATATGGTTTGGACCTTGAACTAATTCGTAGGGAGAGTTTAGAGCATTGAGCTCACATTTATTCTAGTTAATTTGTGTGTAATTGTGTTTAATTTGGATTGTTAAAACTTTGTCTAATTGTTTAAACGTTAAAAGAATTAATTTGCTAGTAGTACGTTTTAGCCTTATAACATTCTAATTATTTGTTGCATCATGATCATAAGAAAATAAAAAAGAGGAAAATATCCCAAGAAGTTTTAGGTGTGCCCATATGTCATTTTAATTATATTATGTCCAAACTTTTTCCTTCTTTTTTTATTAAAATAATCTTGAAATAGTACTGCAATTAAAAAATTGAAAAATAAATATCTAATTCTTGTAAACAGAGAAGTCCGTCACTTTCACGATAATGTTCTTGGCTACCAACAGGACCACAAATCAATCTCCTATTGTTGCTATTTTTTGGAAAAAGAAGACATGTGCGGTTATTAGGGGCGGATCTACTGTATTAGTTATGGGTACAGATGAACCTAATAATTTTTTCTTAGACGTTATATTTGTATAAGTAAATTCATTAAGTATGTATAAATATTTAATTATGAACCTGGAAAACTACAACAATGTGTTCGGTGACAAGTTCAGAACATATAAATTTCAAATTCTTGCTTCGTTTTTGCAGGCTACCAACTCTTCTTAATCATTAATGGGTTGCTTTACTATGTTCAATGCTTTATTCAGTTCAATTTTTGTGTGCTAATCATCACAAGCAATGAATTTAAAGGCCTATAATAATAGTTTAAATATTGGGATGTATAGTAAAAGTCTGATGATAGAAACCTTGTACTTATTAATGCTGGTTTTATGTTTCTATCAGAGTGGGTAGTTTGTGTTATTTTCCACTAAAAAGAGACATCTAAAATTGAAGAAAATTATAAATGACGACAAAGATCAATGTCCATATTTTCATCAAATAACACTTCCAAATTAAGAAAATGTACTAACAAGTTGACAATAAAATAACTTTTTGGTGTAATAAGATTAAAGATCTTCAACTTGTTTGCCACTTTTAACTTGTGAATAGTCTATTTGACCATTTTCTAAATTTGACTTGATGAAATTATTTTTTTAACTAAAATTAAGATATAAGAAACTATAGAAATATATAACAATCTACATTTTTTCTAACAAACTAGCCAAAGGAAGGGAGAAATTCAAAAATAGCCAGATTTACCACTGGTCGTTGAAAAATAGTCAAGTTTCAAAAGTCATCAAAATTTAGCCACTTTAAATTTGAGCGAAAACACTGTTCAAAATCCGGAAAAATACACCCGCAAATTTTACGGGAGTTCCAGCATAAGTATGCTTGAACTCCCGTAAATTTTACGGGAGTTCCAGGATAACTATGCTGGAACTCCCGCAAATTTTACGGGAGTTCAAGCATAATTATGCTGGAACTCCCGCAAATTTTACGGGAGTTCCAGCAAGTATAATTGTCCAGTATAATATACTGGAGTTTGGAGCACTGGTGCTCCAGTCTCCCGCAAATTTTACAGGAGTTAGCAAAGTATACCGGTCCAGCATAATATGCTGGAGTTCGTACACAAATGCACCAGAACTCCCGTATATTATACTGGACCGGTCCCTGTTGCAGCAAAATAGTGGCTATTTTTCGTTGACTTGATAAACGCTGGCTATTTTTCATTGACCAGTGTGAAAACTGGCTATACCATGATATTTTAACCAATGGGAGAAATTCAAAAATAGCCAGATTTACCACTGGTCGTTGAAAAATAGCCAAGTTTCAAAAGTCATCGAAATTTAGCCACTTTAAATCTGAGCGAAAACACTGTTCAAAATCCGAAAAAATACGCCCGCAAATTTTATGGGAGTTCCAGCATAAGTATGCTTGAACTCCCGTAAATTTTACGGGAGTTCCAGGATAACTATGCTGGAACTCCCGCAAATTTTACGGGAGTTCAAAGATAACTATGCTGGAACTCCCGCAAATTTTACGGGAGTTCCAGCAAGTATAATTGTCCAGTATAATATACTGGAGTTTGGAGCACTGGTGCTCCAGTCTCCCGCAAATTTTACAGGAGTTAGCAAAGTATACCGGTCCAGCATAATATGCTGGAGTTCGTACACAAATGCACCAGAACTCCCGTATATTATATTGGACCGGTCCCTGTTGCAGCAAAATAGTGGCTATTTTTCATTGACTTGATAAACGCTGACTATTTTTTATTGACCAGTGTGAAAACTGGCTATACCATGATATTTTTACTTTACTTTATTGGTGAAAGTTAATTCCTCACATTGTAATCTCTCCCCATTTTTCATTCTCTTATCCCCTAAATATAATAAAAATAATTATTAAAAAAAGGTTCACTTAATTTGAATTTTGAAGCAAAATTGTATTAGATTTACTTAATATTTTAAACTTAAAATTTAGATATTCATAAACTATACGAAAAGTACTATAATTTATAATTTTCTCATATCAATATAGTAAAAAAATAGTGTACATGTCAAAACATTGGTCAAAGTTTAGGTAGTTTGACTCTGAAAAGCAAAACATAACAAGTTAAAGTGAACGGAGGGAGTAATAAATAAATATTGTCAAACAGAGTGAAAGGGAAGGAGTAATTGACAAGATCTGGTAGGGAACGCTTTTCTTTAATCCGCCTTCCACTAAGACTGTACATGGATCGGATCGGATCAGATTTAGCATATTTCGAATTCGGATTTCGGATTTCGAATTCTACAAAATGCAATCCCGATCCGGATTAATATCGGATCGGATCGAATTTTAAATTTTGGATCGGATCAATATTTCGGATTTCGGATCGGATTATACATATTATTAAGGCTATTGCTAATCTAATCGGCTAATGCATCTGCCTTATCTGCTTCTTCTGTGTTATGTGCTAATACAAACATCTCTTTTCTTTTCATCCCTTTTATCAACATTGCATCTCTATGAAAATATTTCTCCGGAGGTTGGAGTTGTTATGCCTCAAAGTTGCAAACTCATCCATATATTTTCTTTGTAAAAGAGGCAATACAGCAAGAAAAATTTATGTTTCTGCAATTACGAGGGTACTATGGTGCCATTATAGCTAAATCCAGCAATTGTAAATGTAATAACTTGGAGGAAGATATAAAGAAAGTGCTAACTATCCGAAATTAAAGTTTAGTATTTATACATGTCCTAATAATTTCGGATTTCGGATCGGGTTAAAATTATACCAATCCGGATCCGATCCTAATATCCAACATTTTAATAAACATAATCCGAAATCCGATCCAAATATCCGAAATTGAGCGGATCGATTCGAATTTCGGAAATCCGATCCAAATGAACAACCCTACCTTCCACGAACCGAATCTAAATTAATCGAGTCAATTAGTGTCAAACACTAATAGTTATACTAAACAAAATTGACAAGATCTGAAGCATAACAAAGTTTCAAACCTTGATTGTCATTTTCTCTACCTAAAACAATCCTTAGTAAATTAGTACGGATTAATATTTTAATCCAAACATGAAAATGCCAAACACATCAGTAGTTTTATCAGATAAAATTTTCCTATCTGACAAAAGAAACTAAGCTAATTTCCTTACACATGTCAAGATGTTATAGATTCCCTTTAACTTTTCTCTCTGTTCTGATTCCCCTGTCACTAAAACCAAACTGTCAAGCATATATTCACCATTCAACAACAAGTAGAGAAGCGGATCCTGTATTTCAAGCTTATAGGTTTGAAATTCTAAATATTTTAAGTTATTGCGTTCTAAATTAATAATTGTACATATTAAATTATTTTTTTTAAACAAATATATAGTTCGAACCAAAGTTACTAAAATTCAGCCGAGCCCGCTCCTGGCACTCTAACTCCACCCCTGACAACAAGGGCATTTATATAAGCTACTGTGGCAAAAACTGGTACAGTTTCTCATGATTCACGAATTCCATTTTCAATATAGGAGAAATGTCTTCAATCTTGATAAGGACAGTTTGGTAAATTTGGTACATGTAGCTGTGAAGCAGCAGTTTCAGTTCACTGTCTTCACTTCTGTTCTAAGTTCCTTACCTGCAAAGTGTACAACTGTATACAAAGAGAGAGAAAACAAAGCACCCCATTTTTACTGAAACATGTAATAATAGGCTGATAGTTATAGGCTATAGGCTTGTTCCTATAACTGTATCTTCCTCAAAGTTTGTTCCTAGGATTCACTTTTGCTGTAAACTAAGAAGCAACTACTTTCTTCATCGTGCTTCTTGTCTTATTTTACTGGGTGAAAGTTGACTTTGAGAAAGAAAGACTTCTATTTAGATTAGTTTCTTAGTAAAAGATAAGACAAGAAGCAAGGGCGTAGCAGCTGCGCGAAGTTGCGCCTTAGCACATCCGTTATCTTGCCTATTCCGATTAAGTGACAGTAAAAATATTGACTATTCATAGCATTCTTGGTTTGTGGGTGTCTTTGATTTGGTTTTATTGTTCAGTTTTTGTATGTGGGGTTTTGCTAAAAAGGCTGTTGGTTGATTGACTGAAGAATTAAAGAGTATTGAAAGTATGTCTTTGAAGAGCAGAGGAGTAGCAGAAAGAACTTCAAGAAGTGTAGTTTCTCAAAAATGGAGTCTTTTACTTTGTCTTGGTAGTTTTTGTGCTGGAATGCTCTTTACAACCAGGTAAAGTTATTCACTTTTTGAGAAAGTTTACATTTTTATACTGATATTATCTTCTGGGAACTGGGTTGTTTTTGTATTCACTTTTCTTGATTGGGTATGGGATCTTTACTTCTTCAGTTATTTGGAATAAAGTTTAACAGTTTAACTTCTATATAGTGATAGTATAAAAATTCAATCACCTAAAGATAACTACAGGTAACTGTTCTTATAAACTAAGTAAGTTAGAAAGCAAGGCAGGTTATCTATGATAATAGTGTATAAGTTAAATCCTTTGGAATAATCTTGAAGGGCCTTAGAGCAACGGTAAAGTTGTCTTCAAGTGACCTATAGGTCACTGGTTCGAGCCGTGGCATCAGCCACTGATGCTTGCATCTGGGTAGGTTGACTACATCACACCCCAGGGGTGTGGCCCTTTCCCGGACCCTGCGTGAATGCGGATGCTTCACCTTTGGACTAATCTTGTTTGATGTCTTAGCTTTAGGTGCTAGACAATTATATGTTAGTGTTTGATGTTTTTAGGTGTTCTGTTTGATTTGTTTGTTTTCTTTTTGGTTTACTACATTTGTACTGAGATTCAGGTTTAACAACTTTTTTAACTATACATTTTATAATTTGGTCCGTGCAGTATCTTTTAATGACTAGTTATGACCTTTTTACATTTTATTACAAGAAAGCTTAAAGTAATGTTACTTTTGATTTTCCCCAATTCCCTGTTCTAATCCCACAAATATTGATGATTACATGTAGTTATCTTTTATGTGATCTGATCGTGTAAGAATTACTTATTTTACACTGTCATTTTTACATTGTCACCGTACAGAAGTTAAACTCTTATGAGAAAAGCGACTGAGTTTATGTAACCATATAATGTAAATATCATACAAAACTATAATGCTTATATTAGTTCTTGAGGAATAATGATTTGACAATTATGCAGAATGTGGATCATTCCTGAAATAAAAGGTGGTATTGCAAGAACAACCACAGTCGACGCTAAAAGATTGAAGTTAGTTTCAGAAGGATGCATTACAAAATTTGTGAGTACTCCTATTCAGTGACGGACCCAGGATTTTGTGCAAGCGAGTTCAATCTTAGAAGTACATAACTTTAGTCGTAAAATAGTAGTTGTCAAGTGGGTTCAAATAAAATATTTATTCAAAATTTACGCAGCTTTAATCGTAATTTATACATATACACAGCTTCCACGTGCGTCCGCCACTGCTCCTATTCCATGTAAATAACTAATCTACAACTTGGAAATCAAATTCTTGTTTATTTTCACCAACCATACATCTTAACTGTGACTTTTTTTTTTCTGTTAAGTTGCAGTATAAAGATGTAAAACTAGTATCTCAAGATATTTTTGGGAAAGTTTCTAAGACAAATAATGCTATTCAGTGAGTTTTGCTCAACCCTCTTTTCCTTTCTCTTCTGTTTCTTCTTACTTTTGATAAGATTACAGAACTTTGCATTAGATATGATAAATATAGTATGAATGCGGATATCTTATACAGGACACTAGACAAAACCATTTCAAATTTGGAAATGGAGTTGGCTGCAGCAAAGGCAGAACAGGAGTCACTCCTTAGCGGCGCTCCAATATCAGATTCAACAACAAAAAGAAAATATTTTATGGTTATAGGGATAAATACTGCATTTAGTAGCAGAAAAAGAAGGGATTCAGTTCGTGCTACATGGATGCCACAAGGTATTTTTCCTCTGCCTTATCGCCTCCTAGTTTGTCTACTCGTCTCGTGATGGCATTTTCTTTATCTGATATTTGGCATTTTTGATTCAACTTGGTGAAACAGGTGAAAAAAGAAGGAAGCTAGAAGAAGAGAAAGGAATAATCATTCGCTTCGTCATTGGTCATGGGTGAGAGATTTTTCTTCTACTAAACATTCTAAATTGAATGATATATTTTAGCGCTTGTCTAGTTCATGTAACTAGGATATTTTAATCACTTTAATCAAATTCTGTTGGTATGTATAAACTTGTATGCATAGGTATTCTAATTCTGCCTCAATATTTTCATACATCGAATCTATGTTGCCTGCACACTCCAGGACAGCTAACGCACCCATGCGGATCCTCCAATAATGCACTAGTTTTGGAGGATCCGACATGCACCCATTGACATTTCGTAGAGTCCGAGCAACATAGTATCAACTCTTGTTTGTAATCATGTTGTTAAGATTTATAGCAGCATAAACTTTTAACATTCTGTCTAAAAAGCTATAAACTCATTGTGCAGTGCAACAGTAGGGGGAATATTAGACAGAGCTATTGAAGCTGAGGATAAAAAACATGGTGATTTCTTGAGGCTGGTAATATATTTTGTGTCTGATTTACTGCAATAATTCACTTTATGTACTCATACGTAAAAGACGATACATCAGTTTTGCTACCTTTTAAACAGGATCATATTGAGGGTTATCTTGAATTGTCAGCCAAAACAAAGACTTATTTTGCCACTGCTGTTAACTTGTGGGATGCAGAATATTACATCAAAGTTGATGATGATGTTCATGTCAATATAGGTAAACAAATATTTTTCGTAATTTCTTTTAATGTTATATTGAGATTTTAAGACTTATTACAGCAAATGCAACTGTCTCTCAATGTTACATGACTAGTTTTATATCTGTTGCAGCTACATTAGGGGAAACATTAGCAAGGCATCGTAAGAAACCACGTATATATATCGGGTGCATGAAATCTGGTCCTGTCCTCTCGCGGAAGTAAGGACATTTAGTTTTTTTGTCTGTAAATTGAATCTTGAAATTTCAATTTGTCGACATTATATTGTTTTGAATCACAGGGGTGTAAGATATCATGAACCAGAATACTGGAAATTCGGAGATAAGTATTTTCGTCATGCTACTGGACAAATATATGCCATTTCAAAAGACTTGGCTACTTATATATCAGTAAACCAGTTAAGTATCTTTTTCTCTTAATATCTTTATTCCATTTGTAGTAGTTTTTTTCCTTTTTTTTTCCCACTTACCTATGTATAAATTTCTTCATATTTAAAGGCATGTACTGCATAAGTATACCAATGAGGATGTGTCATTGGGTGCTTGGTTTATTGGACTCGATGTGCAGCATATCGATGATCGCAGATTGTGTTGTGGAACTCCACCTGGTAAATCATTTTTACCAATATTGTCTTTTACTCATAGGTTCTGATGCAATATGTGTGAACTGCAAAGAAATCAAAACCTTTCCTTACAGGCTATGTTGCTCGGACTCTTCAAAAATGTCGTCAGGTGCGTGTCAGGTCCTCCAAAATTAATACATTTTCGGAAGATTTGACACAGGTGCGGCAACATTTTTGGAGAATCTGAGCAACATAGCTTTCGTGGGGTGTGACTGTTGATGTTTGATGAATCCAAGATCCGAAGACGAATCCAGGATCTAAAGTTAGTTGGTTCAGAATGAGTGTGAACGTGTCCTAAATCTGCCTCTAGACCGAGCTAGTTAATGCTAGCAAGATGCTGTAAAAACTGCAGTTAGTTTCGCTTGTTTGTTACCAAATTTGATACCAAAATGAAACTACTTTCTGATGCAGACTGTGAATGGAAGGCACAAGCAGGCAACATCTGTGTTGCATCATTTGACTGGACATGCAGTGGGATATGCAGGTCTGTTGACAGGATAAAAGAGGTCCATCGCCGTTGTGGCGAGGGAGAGAATGCACTATGGAAAGCTGCATTCTGAGGACATGCATTTCTTCCAAACAGGACAACGAAATAGGTCTATCGATATGTCAATATCCCACATTCATTTGCTCCGGAATACAGATTATAGATGCAAATAACTCAGAGGCGAATCCAAGATATAGAGTTAGTGGGTTCTGAATAAGTGCGATCTTATTATATGTATACATTTTATGCTTTTTTTTGTTTGCCTGTGTATACAGAGTTCAAGTTGAAGGTATAGTGGGTTCAGCTGAACCCCTAGAACCCGCTCTAAATCTGCAACATGTGCATAAACAGAGATGTGCGCCGTGCGGTGGGAGAGACAATGATTAAAAATAGATGGCCTTGCCTTAGCTCTGGGGAAACCTTCTCCATTTTTGTAAAGAATAATGGCTGCCAAAGCAGTTGCGAGCAGAAATGCTGATCAGTGGGCCATAATGTAAGTCATAGTATACTGGATTGTAAAATCTTAATAAGTGTTCAAAATCATATTTTTTGTGGCCTTGTTTCTGTCATTTGTTATGGGTGCTCACTCAATATTTATCTAAATATTTGCATAATTACCTATATAAATTATTAAATATGATCAAAAGTAATGGGTGCTTAAGCACCCATAAGTGTGTATGTAGATCCGCCCATGCCAACTTGTCTGGCCTTTTGTATTTGCATAATGTTGTGTTGATTTCACATGGCATATATCAGTCCAATAACGCAACTGAAATGAATTGTTAGGGTGCTCCAAAAATTCATTTTATCAGTTTAAAGAAGTTAACTCATAATGCATCCAACGGTGAGGCCTAGTGGTCAATAAAGCAGTTGGGAACCATGACGTCTCGGGTTCAAATCCCAGCCTAGGCAAAAACACTAGGTGATTTCTTCTCATATGTCCAAATCTTTGGTGAACAAAGTTATCCAGTAGTTGTGCTAGTGGGAGATAACATGTAACCTGTAGAATTAGTCAAGGTGCTAGTGAGAGATAGCAGAACCTGTAGAATTAGTCAAGGTGCTAGTGAGAGATAGCAGGTAACCCGTGGAATTAGTCAAAGTGCAGGCAAGATTATCTGGACATGAGGTTATCCCAAAAAAAGAACAAGCAGCTAAACTCATACTAATAGAATAGTGTTTATGGCTTCCAAAGGTATCGTCTCTCAGCTTGGACAGCTCTGGTACAGTAAAATTGGTTTGCTGATATTGGTAGTAAGCTTTTCACTGTCTATCTCTGTTGCCAAAGCCGATAAAAATGATTACTGAAACAAGAAATTAGCCGAATGATATTGCTCTGGTAATTCACATCAAATTATGTAGGTAAGGGATGTTGGGATTTTAAGTATATGATATGCTTAAAATAGGGTGAATGGTAAATGGAGGGAAATAAAATTTTTAAGTGAAATTTTAAGTTTTCCCCTTGGCAAAGGGACATTGTCCCATATTGGAAGAGGAAGAGGTTTTTTATGCGTATATAAGCCATTGCTCTTCTTCTAGCTCTTAAAGAGTTGAGAAGAAGGCAAGCCTCGCGCAGCCGTCGTCGCTCGGCTTCGGCTCCGGTCAAATGATTGATTGATTAATTTTTGGACCAAATTTGTTTGTTAATAGTAAAATATTAACAGAAATGTTATTAAATATTTGTTTTAATAACAGAATATTAATATTAAAATAAATATTAATATTAAATCCAATCCGTTTTTCAGTTGTGTAAAAACTACCCTCTTCAATTTTTCCTCTTTATTGTTGAGTAAATAGCCATTTATGTTATGACATTTATGCTGTGGTCGTTTTGCATAAACAGTCATTCTGAAGAGTTGCGCCTCTTCAGATTTCAGCCCAACTTTTACTATAAATACAAGACTATTCTGCTCAGAATTTCCATACGAATTTTCTGAGTTCTTCTCCTTTCTTCTGCATATTTTAACTTCAAAGAAAGCAACAGTAAGTGTGATTTGCTACCGAACTTTGTGTTCGCTGAAACATTGGGGTTTGAAGTACCACTACACCAATGTGTAATTCGTTCTATCCTGGGAGGAAATAATCCATAACCTTGGGTACTAGGAGGGGATTAAATTCCTTAAGGAAACACTGTGAATTCAGTGGGCTCGAATTAAAATTCTGTTTCTGCTTTTCATTTCTGTTTATGTTCATTTATATTTTCCAAAATTATTTTACAAATACAATTTACTAACAAGCTTAAGGAATTTAATATATTTTCTGTATTTGTACTCACTGTTTCTGAAGAGTAAAACCTTTGTGGTTTTGTACTCTATTGGAGATTAAAATTTATGTGATTTTAACGTTTGTGTCATTCTTTTACAGAAATGACTAATGATAATGTGAACCAAGCTACTCCAATGGTGATTGCCAATGCCTCAACGAGCCGAACGACACCGGCAGCATTGGCACCGGCGGAGAAACACAAAAAAATTTTCAGGATTGATTTCAAGCGCTGGCAGCAAAAGATGTTCTTCTATTTGACTACTCTAAGTCTTCAGAAGTTCATTAAGGAAGATGTTCTTGTGCTATCCGATGAAACTTCAGAAACTGAACGCTTTCTCGTGATTGAGGCGTGGAAGGATTCAGATTTTTTGTGCAAGAATTATATTCTAAGCGGGCTGGAGGATGCTTTGTATAACGTCTATAGTGGCGTGGAAACGTCAAAAGAACTGTGGACTACGCTTGAAAAGAAATACAAAACTGAAGATGCCGGGTTGAAGAAGTTCGTTGCTGCAAAGTTTTTGGACTACAAAATGGTAGATAGTAAGTCTGTTATTACCCAAGTCCATGAATTGCAAGTGATTATTCACGATCTTCTTGCTGAAAGTATAAATCAAATTAATATTGATGTTGAAAGTAGTAATCTTAGTATTTTTACTAATAGAAATTTCATTGAAGGTCTTGTCATCAATGAAGCATTTCAAGTAGCAGCGATGATTGAGAAGTTGCCTCCTTTGTGGAAGGACTTCAAAAACTACTTGAAACACAAACGCAAGGAGATGTCCCTTGAAGATCTCATAGTTCGGTTGAGAATCGAAGAGGACAACAAAGTTGCTGAAAAGAGAGGCCGTGGAAACTCAACAATAATAGGAGCAAATATTGTTGAAGAAAACAAAAAGAGGAAGAAGGCTTCTGGACCGAAATACAACCCAAGCAAGAAGCGGTTCAGTGGAAATTGCTACAACTGTGAAAAAGCCGGACACAAATCTACGGAGTGTCGTGCTCCAGAGAAAGACAAGAAGAAGGGTCAAGCAAACATAGTTGAAAAGCATGATGATGTTGATGACTTATGTGCCATACTTTCCGAATGCAACTTGGTGGGCAATCCTAAAGAGTGGTGGATTGATTTTGGAGCCACTCGCCATGTTTGTGCTGTTAGAGAAACTTTTGCTACTTATGCTCCTGTTGGACCCAATGGGATGCTTTCTGTGGGAAATGCTGCAAAGGTCAAGATTGAAGGATGTGGGAAGATATTTCTCAAAATGACTTCCGGCAAAGTGCTGACTTTGAACAACGTCCTCCATGTTCCCGAGATTAGGAAGAATTTAGTCTCTGCTGGACTTCTTGTTAAGAATGGTTTTAAATGTGTTTTTGTTTCCGATAAGGTTGTAATAAGTAAGAACGAAATGTTTGTAGGAAAAGGTTACCTCACTGAGGGCCTTTTCAAGCTGAATGTAATGGTTGTTGAAAACAATAATAAAATTTCAGCTTCGTCTTACTTACTTGAGTCAACTGAATTATGGCATATACGTTTGGGTCATGTTAATTATAAAACCTTGCGGAAAATGATTAATTTGGAAGTATTGCCTAAATTTGAATGCGACAAATCAAAATGTCAAATATGTGTGGAATCTAAGTATGTTAAACATCCTTATAAGTCAGTTGAAAGGAATTCAGATCCTTTAGACTTAATTCACACATATATTTACGATATGAAGTCAATACCATCTCGCGGTGGAAAGAAGTATTTCATAACTTTTATTGACGATAGTACTCGATATTGCTAAGTTTACTTACTTAATAGTAAAGATGAAGCAATAGACGCATTCAAGCAATACAAAAATGAAGTTGAAATGCAACTTAATAAGAAAATCAAAATGATAAGAAGTGATAGGGGTGGTGAATATGGATCTCCTTTTGAACAAATATGTTTAGAATAAGGAATTATTCATCAAACAACGGCCCCTTACACGCCCCAATCCAATGGGATTGCAGAAAAAAAGAATCGTTCATTAAAGGAGATGACGAACGCATTATTGATAAGTTCTTGTTTGCCACAGAACTTGTGGAGGGAAGCCGTTCTTACGGCTAGCCGAATACTAAATCGAGTACCCCATAGCAAAACACAATCCATTCCATATGAAAAATGGAAAGGAAGGAAGCTCAACTTGAATTATTTTAAAGTGTGGGGGTGTTTGGCAAAAGTGCAAGTTCCTAAACCCAAAAGGGTAAAAATAGGACCGAAAACCGTTGATTGTGTTTTCATAGGATATGCGACTAATAGTAAAGCATATCGATTTCTGGTTCATAAATCAGAAAATCCCGACATTCATAATAATACGGTTATAGAATCAGATAATGCTGAGTTGTTTGAAAATATATATCCGTATAAAAAGGAATGTGAGTCAATTGGTGAAGGATCTAAACGACCTCGGGAAGAAACAAAAGAAAGTACACTTAACCAGGAGGATCCAAGACGTAGTAAACGTCAAAGAACGTCTACTTCATTTGGACCAGATTTTGTGACTTTCTTATTGGAAAATGAGCCTCAAACATTTAAATAAGCTATGTCTTCTTCGGAATCATTATTTTGGAAAGAGGCAGTCAATAGTGAAATAGAATCCATACTAAACAACCATACATGGGAATTGGTTGATCTTCCTCCTGGAAATAAACCGTTGGGTTCTAAATGGATCTTTAAGAGGAAAATGAAAGATGATGGCACTATTGACAAATATAAGGCAAGACTTGTGGTCAAAGGGTATAGACAACGAGAAGGTCTTGACTATTTCGATACATACTCTCAAGTTACAAGAATTACATCCATACGAACGTCAATAGCGTTAACTGCAGTTTATGGTCTTGAAATTCATCAAATGGATGTTAAGACAGTCTTCTTAAATGGAGAGTTAGAGGAAGAAATTTACATGGAACCACCTGAAGGGTTTGTGGTTCCAGGTAAAGAAAAGAAGGTATGTAGACTTGTTAAGTCCCTTTACGGACTAAAACAAGCACCCAAACAATGGCATGCGAAATTTGACCAAACAATGTTGTCAAATGGTTTTAAAATAAATGAATGTGATAAATGTGTGTACAATAAAAATATTCCAAATCACATAGTCATTGTTTGCTTATATGTGGATGATATGTTGATAATGAGTAATGACATTGCCAACATAAATGCGACTAAGCGCATGTTAACTGGCAAGTTTGATATGAAAGACTTGGGAGTTGCTGATTGAATTCTGGGAATTAAGATCCATAAGACTTCTCAAGGTCTGGCATTGTCACAATCTCATTATATTAAGAC